GACACCTCCTGGGATGGAGACACCTCCAGGGATGGAGAGACCTCCTGGCATGGAGACCTCCCAGCACAGAGACCTCCTGGCTTGGAGACCTCTCAGGATGGAGCCCTCCTGGCACAGAGACCTCCCAGACATTGTGTGGCCATGGTGAAGAGCTGGGGTGCTGGGAGCAGAGATCTCTCTCAGATTGACACCAACACGCTCAGACGGCCCCGTCCAACTCTCCCCTCACCCTTGGGTGAAGCACAGTTGGCTTTTCCCTGGTGGAATTTGGGAATCTCTCACCACGGAGAGAGCTGGGAATGATCCCTTCTCCCACCTGCCTGTGGACACACAGCACAGAAGTGGCTGTTCCCCATGGAGCAGCCCCAACATGGGCTTATTGCTAACAACACTTGCTAGGAAAATATTTAAGCCCCTTTCTCACATATTTCCCTTCTTTAACTCAGCTGAAATACACCTGAACACGAAATCTGCTTGTGCTAAAGGTATTTCAGCACAGCCCCTCCTTCCAGATTAAGCACTAAATCTGAAACTAAACAAAGACAAGCTATTTCTCCATGAGCTGAAGATGGCAAAATGATCACAAAGAGAACACATATTTCAAACATAAAATTACCCTGTTTCATGGTGATTCTGTTTGTGGTGGTGGAAGAAGATGAGGATGTCTTCCCAGCTACCAGAAACTAAAGATCTACAAAAACCTGATGCCAAGCTCCTGCAGATTCCTGGTGGGAATGCTTCTGATAGAACAGAAATGTGCATGTGGGGAGCTCAGGTTCCTGGGAGCAGCTTTGCAGCCAGCCAGGCTCAGCAGACAGAAATTAAATCCAGGCCAGGGAAGGAGGGCTTACTCCCAGACAACTGTCTGTGTCTCTTCCCACCCACCCCCATCCCCAAGTAACAGATCATCATTTATAAAAGGAACATTAAAACATTGAAAAATATTTCTTTTTTTTTTTTTTTTTTTTTTTTTACTTTCCTTAAAACATGATTCACTGGCATTAGAAGGCTTTTTATGACAAAGCTTCTGTTCCGTGTGGTGCTGTGTGTGGTTCATTAAAAATAGTTTTCCATGTTTCAAAGAATGATTCAACGCAGTTTGGAAGCTTTGATTGGTACAGGGTCATCAGAAGGTGTCGATTGCATTTTACAGTATGTATGTATATATATATATATATATTTATCTATATACACATACACAGAGAATTGTATAAAACCCAGTGCAGCCATACAGGACATGTTGCTGCCCAGGGAATGCAAATAATTATCAGCTTGTAGGAAATAATATAAACTTTTCTACATCCCCCTCCCCCAGTCCCTGCACATGCACTCTGGGAACTGGACACTCCCCAGGTGTTTGTTCGCACCTGTGGGTGGAGAAAACACAGATCAATTCTTCAGAGTATATGAGATTAATCAAGGCAGGTTATATTTTACTGTACAGAGGAATGTGGCTGCTTCCCGCTTTTCTCCTGAGTGCAGGATGTTGTGGTGACTCAGACATGAGGAGAAGGAAGCAGGAAGGTCCCAGCACAAGGAACAGCATTCTTTGGAGCTGCTGCCTGCCAGGACCCTGACCAGGAGGAGAGCAGTGGGAATCTGGGCAGTCCCAACCCAGCGCTCTCCTTCTGGGCAGAGTGGATTGCGACACATCACACACGATGTGCCAGGACAATGACAAACAATATTAACCAAAAACACTTTGCTGCTCTACAGTTTCTGTTGGGAGAGGGTCTCAAAGCGCTTCACAGACGTCTGACCCCTCCATAGAACTGGAAATTCCCATTATCATCATCACGTGTGGACCACGGGGAGCTGAAGTGCTGGGGACCAGGCTGTGGGTCATGACACTCGGTCCCAGACCGAGCGTTCTTTCAGTGACAAATTCTCAGAAGGAGGAATACGGGGAAAAAAATGACCTAAGGACACGTGTGTGTGCTCAAATGCCACTGCCCCAGCCACCAGCCCCTTCCAGCACACGGAGTGAGCCGTGGGAACACATGGTGCCCAGGTGGCATCCAGGGCACAGTTCCTTCCCAAGGAAATTTGATGAAAATTTTCTGTGGTGGTGGCAGAGTCCCTGAAGAGATTTGGCCTAAAAAGGCTCCTTGTGGGACACATCTGCTTGAAACAGTTGAGTGTGTGGAAAAAAGACAAGGAAATGAGGCTAAGATTTCTCTGGAGGATTCTTGCCCAGGTAAGACACGTCAGCAGAGGGCCTGTGATATTTGTTAGCCGGGACAGGAGAAGACACAGAGGTCAAATGGCCCAGGCACAGCTCAGCATCAGCACAGGCTACTTGAATGAAAAATTTCCAAATTTGCATCTGGTCCAGCAACTTCTTAGTTCACAAACGGAACATTTAGATGAGGACTAGAGCTTGAGACACACAGGTATGGACATGGAAAGAGAGGAGTGTTCACCTACCCACGGCCTCCCACTGTCACCGCTTCTCCAGCTCTGCCACCACAGCTCCTGAAGACTCTGCAGCGCACTCTGCCATCCCACAGAGTTCGGATCTCCCTGGCTCTGCTCGGGCCAAGCGAGAATGGAAGAGCCCCAGAACCTCAGCAGGGGCTGCCTCCCCATCAGCTGTGAGAGTTTCTCTTCTCTTCACACGAGTCCCACGCTTTGGCCTGTGGGAAGGTCAGCAAGGGCAATGTTTTCACAGGGATTGTCTTCTGGGAGGAAAAATCCAGCGACTGAGCTGAGGAGCTTGGAGGTAGTCAGGGAAGAGTAGTGTCCATCAAGGGAGGGGGCAGGAGGTGAGGTGTGAGCCTGTTCTCTCTCATCCCTCCTGTGCCATGAACTGCCACCCTGATTGTTGCCCAGAGTGATTTTGCCCAAGGCTGCAGGATCTGACCCTGGAGACTGTAATTTTTTTATTCCTTCCCAGCTCAGTTTCCGTCAAACAAAGCCCCAGTAACCTCTCACTGATGGAGTCCTTCTCAACACAATCTCCATCAGATGGGGCAGGATAAAGCTCTGGAAATAGGACCAGCTCCAGGACAGTCTAGGGAAGAGAAAGGCCACCTGGACACCCCACTGAGGCCCACCTGTCAGTCCCACTGGGGTAAGGACACGTGTTCCTCCTGCCTGCCCTGCACCAGAAAAACCTGGTGCTGCACCAAAGCCTCCACAGGAGACTCCCACTCACACCCTCCAATCATTGTTTGCTACAGGACTTGACACAGTTGGGCTGGGAATGTCTTTAAGGCCAGGAGGTGGGAGGTATTTGAGGGGAGGGAGGAGGGCAGAGCAAAGTTCAGTGAAGCCTAATGAAGAGCCACGTAGGAAAAGAGTCCGTGTGGGAAGGTGGGACACGAAGAGACGTGCACAGGGATGTGCTCACAGCCTGAAGTCATCTCACCCCGAGGAGGGAGCGTGTCTGCCCAGAGCCATGGGGGGTGTGCGTGTGCTGGGGCCTCCAGGGCACATGGGGACAGTGTCCAGCACCCACAACTCCAGCACCGGGTCTGGCTAGCCTTCAAACCCTCTGAGACCCTTTCCTGGCCACAGAAGTGTGTTCCGGTGGGAGTCGGTTCTACAGAATTTGCTGGGAACACAAATCAAAAGGGGGAAAAAAAAGAAAAGAAAAACCAAACGCAAATCTAACAAAAAAAAAACAAAGCAAAGCCCAATCTGTCTGGAAAGCCAAAGGTAAAACCCTCACAAATTCTGGACCCACGAGTCTATGTTTTAAAGATTTTACAAATATACAGTATCTAATTAGCGTTATATCAGATATACAACATGCCCATTAATTATAATTATGCTGGATATATAATTTATATGCATGAAATGTAACTGTCTTCATGGTTAGGATTGGGACTCAGTGGAATTGGAATTTGGAAGGTTTTCTTGGGAGGCCATTGCAGGGAGAGAAAACCACGGAAAGTTACTGACCTGCTTTTCAGTAAACAGACACCCTCAGCTTTGTGCCTCTGCTAAGGGCTGGAAAATTATTTGCTACATATGGAGTTCCAGGCTGTAAATGGGAAGAGAAAATGTTCAGAAACAGGGGAACTGGGCCATGGAAAATGCTATCAGGAATAGAAACTTCTGGGGAGAAACCCAGGCTCGGTGGCAGCGTGGCAGCTTTGCTTCGCAGGGGTCTCAGTGGGGTCAGGACCTCCCCCAGCACAGGTCAGCAGTGTGGAGCTGAACGGGTTCTGGTGCTTTAGGTTCAGCAGTGGCAAGAAGCTGGAGGAAGGAAAACCCTCTTCCTCCTTCCTATTTACATGTTGGAGACACCAAGATACTAGAATGAGTGGAGAAAAGGGTCTAACAAGCATTTCAGCATATTTGTGCTTATTGAACACATCAACCCCACTACTTCCTACACTGAGAGAGCAGGCGATTTGTAGGCACTAGTATGTTTGTATCTTATGAGTATATTTAGTATAAACTAAAACTTTATTTCTCAGCCAGGCTATTCTTGTCCCTAGGTCTGCCAGTCCCGTAGGAAAGTCTGCCCTTGAATTTGCTCCAAGGGTGACAAAGAACAGATGTGTGGGTGCTGACGGGTGTCGAGCAGCCTGGGGGTGACCCCAGCGGCCAGAAGTTCCCTACTTGCTACAGAAACATGAGGACCAAGAGTGAGGCCCCTTCCTGCCAGGATGGGGGGGCTGCATTTCCTCCTCCCTGTCTCAGGCTGCTTCTCCTTGGAGCAACTGAAAAGTCCTGAATTAATGGAAACTATGGGATAATGCAGGTGAGCCCTTGGAAGGAGCCATCGATTACTATGGCTTTCTTTGACAGAAACTGATGCACACCAGGAAATTTCCTCCGTTATCCCTCACTAGTGTCTGACTGCTGCTTCAGTTCTTCCTGTGTCACTGATGAAGGGGTGGCTTTAAAAACATCGTGGGTGGGACTGTCAGAGAAGTCCTTGCAGACACTGAGTTAGTAGAGGTTATCTTGGCCTATAAGGCCACTGCAGAACGGGGTGCCGTGGCCACCCCAGTCCTTAAGGAGTATCTACAATGCACTGGGTCATGTCAAACAGTCACCTCTGTTTTGCTGGCGGTGCGGTAGTGGTGGTGGTGGCCGGGGATGTAATGCAGCTGTTCCACCGTGTTGTGCCGGCGCGAGGCGAACGCTTGGCGCTTGGCCGAGGTCGGGTTCATACTCAAGGTATTGTACAAGTTATTTGAGGCACTGGGATGGGACTGCATTTTTGACATCCTGTAGCGATCCAAGACCGGTGTTGACACAAAGACATCTGTGTGTGACAATGCCCTGGACATGGACTGCTCGGGGTACCCCGACCGCTCCGGGGACAGCAGCGGGTCCTGGGAGTGCAGGCGCTCTGCCGACAGGAGCTGCTCGTCTGAGAGAATCCGTTCGTAGGACATGCTGAACTCCTCGGGCATGATCCTCTCAGGGGACAGCACCCTGTCCTGGGACATGGCCCTGATGGGACGGCGGGGCCTGTCCCGGTGGTTGCTCTGCTGAGACATTTTGATGACGTTGATGGGCAGCGTGCCCCGGGCTGCCAGGTCAGGCAGGTGTCTCCTCCTCATGTAGTACTCGTCAGCCTCTTTGTCAGCTGTGGGAAGGGAAAGGGAGAGGTTAGAAGTCCAGGGTGCTGTCCCAGGGGTGCAGAGGGGCTGTGCATGGCAGGATCTGCCTCCTGGTGACCCCTGAGGGACCATCTGCCACAAGAGTGGGCAGCCCTGCGTGTGTGGTGTCACCAAGGGCTCGTGGCAGACAGAGGAGTGTGAAGTGCATGGGGACAGTGCAAGTCCCTGGGCAAATTAAATCAAATTTTCCCAAACCAGGACAGCATCCCACACTCCTCCATGTGCTGTGGAGGCCAGACGTGGTACCACATGATTTACATGAGAGATGAGTTATGGAGAAATTCCCAAATGTCATCTTTGTGGGAAGGAACAGGGCAGGTGACATGAGCAGGCGAGGTCCCCGTTTGAGGACATGCACACCTCATCTCCAGCCTCAGACGTGGGTATTCCCTGGAGCCAGTTAGTGACCTCATCACATTTTAATCACCACATTTAAATATTTGTAAACGTGATCACAAAACAGGTTTGGTGGTCATGGGATGGTCTCTGAGACACTGAATCACCTGCCTGAGGTTTTGTTTCCCATTTTTATAATCAGCCTTGGTTGATATCATAGGATTTATCCCATGGAACATTTCTTGCTCAGTTTGCTGCTCCTGCATCTTAAATGATGTCTCTGCTGCTCTGAAATGCAGCACACACCCCCCACACACTCACCCTCCTTTTTTTTTGGCTTTGAGAGAAATGCTGCAGTCTCAGAGAGGTGTTTCAGATTTTTTTAAAAAGCAACAACAGAAACACAAAAACTTTCTGGTTAATCCCTCTGATGTTCACATGCTGTGAACTGGGATACTGGGATCACTTACCTGGAAGGAGGCTTGGCAGCCCTTGGGCAGCCCGAGGTGCCCTGATGTGTCTGTGGCTGCAGAGCTGCAAAGCCCAGAACACCCATCCCTCCCAAAATTCCACTGTCACAAGGGGGAGAGAACAGCTCTGGCCTCCTGGGGACAGGGCATGGAGTCACATTTAATGCTCCACACTCATCCCTGTGAGCCTTCTGCATCCTTTCTCTCTCTGAGATGTTCTCCTGATGTGACCAAATGTGTCCCACTCTCTTTCTGGCTCCTCAGTGACTCCAGAGCCCCTCAAAGTGAGACCCACCCGGCAGGAACTCTGCTCTCCTTGGGTAAGACAGCACCCATGTGCAGCAAGGCATTTCCTTTCCTCATGCAAAGGTAAAGGAATTTTCTTCACCTTACAGAAGAAATGAGGCTTTTTGCACAGTAACCTCACAGGAAGAGTTGGCACGGAGCCCCCGGAGCTGGGCACACACTGCAGCCAGCATGGACCTTCCCTACCAGGCTTCAGCCAAGTGCTGATGGGCAAACGCATCCTCTCCTACACATCCTTAGCCAGCTCCTGGGACTGACATAAAATTTCTTTTGGAAAGTCATTGGCTTAGAAGACAAATATGATGAAGATATATGATAATCAAGAGGAGCCTTTTTTGTTTTCTTAGCTCCAGTATGTCAGTCCATGGCAGGTGATGTAAGATGGGAAAATATCAGATGGTGGAAGAGGAAAATTTTCCATGCATGGATATTCTGAGGAAATTAGAGTGACAAAAAGAGCAAAGTTCTGTTGCAGGACAGTCGGGGTGATCATGGGGCAGGTGAGGTCGATGCTGCCTCTTCCTGTGCGCCTTCAACAGACCTGGTAGTTAAAAAATGGTGGAAATTCCCTCTTTCTTCTGACACAGCCATCACTCTGTAGGTTTTATGCACCACATTGGCTGGGAGGTGAAGACAGCTGGCTGCTTGTCCCATGAGCCAGAGCTCACGTGGTGGGTGCTGAGCCACGCTCACAGGACACCAGCTCAGCCAAGCCCTGCAGAGCTGTCACCACCCTGTGCTGGCTGAGGTCCCTCATTTTGTCCTCATCCCCTCTCCCACATCTTCCCTTCCCTCCCAGGCCCCTGTGCACAGCCCAGACCCGTGAGGAGCCAGGGTTGGTTCCCTGTCTCACATCCAGAAGTAGGAGCTGAGAACATCTGTGCTGCCAGAGCTGCTGCCAGCCCCTTCCTCACAGCCCACACGCCCGTGAGGTCACCACAGCTCCCCTGGTGGGATTTGCTCTCCAGAGCACACACTGCAGCAGTGAGTCTTTCTTTTTTGCCATCCAACACTTCTCGGAAGGATGTCTCACTGCAAATGTCAGGCAGCAGCTCTCCTGGCCTTGAGTTCTCTTGTGTCTCTAAAATCAACTTCTAAGGAGCCTGAGGGTGGGGGAAATTCCACATGGCCCCAGGAATTGGAGGCATTTTTACTCTGTTTTGGCCGTAGTTAGGAACACCAGGCTGGGTGTGCACAGGCTGCAGAATGGGAATGAAGCAATTAGCACTCTGGCACTTGGCCTCTGCTCTGGATGAGAGGAGTTCCACCGGATTTGCCCAAGTGACTCTAAATAGATGTAATTAAAGCACAGAACATCCCAAATGGAGATGTGCTTGGATGCTCACACCTGGCTCTGGTAATTGCCAGCAGGAGCTAAACCAGCTTATGGGAGGTTTACAGCTCTGAGGCTGCTAGAGAGGTGGCACCAGCAGCTGGCTGGAAGTGTTTTGAAGTTGTTCCTGAGATTAAAAAGGCAGCACACTCTACACTTGAAGTTACTTTAGGAGCATAAAAAATACTATTTTTTCCCCTCTCCCAGCCTGTGGTCCTTGTACAGGTCTGCACAGCCTTTTGCTGGCCAGAGCTAGAACTTTCAGGGAGCTGATTTAATATCAAAGATGCTTCTAAGCTCACTCAGGCCATGCTCCCCATGATGCTGAGGAGGAGGAACATTTCCAGGTGTGGAATAAACTTCTCATCTCCATCTCAGAGGAGTCAGAAGAGGCGGAACAGCCGTGTGTCACACCCAACAAGCTGCTGGAGGCAGCACCAGACAGACATTTTCCAGGCTGTTGGCTCAGAGAGGGGTGTCAGCCTGAGCCAGGGATGAGGAACGGAGCCTGACAGGAATGTGCTGCATCATCCACGTGCCTTGTGCCAAGGGAGAGCTCAGCACAGCGCTGGAACCACAGAATTCCTGTACCCAGGGACAGCAGAGAAACAAATGCAGCTCCAGACTTGGGAGAGTGGAGCTCCAGGAGCTTTGCCCACCTGCTGCGGGTGAGAAATGTGGAGGTCTGCTCACACAGTGGGCCAAAACCAAAGTTTCTCTGGGAACTGAAATCTTGGAATCATAAAATGGTTTGGGTTGGAAGGAATCTTAAAGATGATCCATTTCCAAGCCCCTGCCATGGGCAGAGACACCTTCCAGGCTGATTCATGTCAGCCTCAGCACACCAACACAGTCCCTGGGACAGCTGGGACCTGATAACCCTGCCCCTTATCAGTGGTGCTCACATGACAACTGCATTCGCAATTTTAACCAAAATAAAACTCCAATCCAGTGTGTTTCTCCAGCAAGGATGTGCTTAAAAATCAAAAAAAAAAAAAACCACCTGTCTTAAGAGGATTCCAAAAAAGCAGGAATTGTGAGCAGATACAAAGGAATCACTGGTGTATTGCTTGACAGGATTTTTTCTGTTTTTGAATCAATCCCATACTTCTGGGTCTTTCCTTGCGTTTTTCAAACATTTGGAACTGGAATTACTGGAAATTATGCTTTCTGCACATTTTCTGGGCTTTTTTCACTGGTTTTGGTTGGGATTTTACTGCCCTTTCTTTCCTCTTTTGGCAGTTTCTAGAACATCACTCAGGGCTGGTCTCACCAAACTTCAGAAGTGTTTGAATGCTTCAATTGCCTTGGCTTCAGGCTAAGCAGTTTTGCTCTCAGGCAGCTTTTTTGGGGTTTTGGTTTGGTGTTTTTTATTATTTTTGTTTGTTTGTTTTTTCTCATTTGGAGCGAGATCCCCAAATAAATGCTCTTAGGTAGACATTCCACCCCAGCCTGAGCTGCTGCTGCAGAAAGGCAGAGCAGAGCTCCTCTGGTGCTGGAGTTGCAGAAAGGAGGCATTTTGTGGTGCTGTGGGAATGGAACATGGAGCACAACAGCCAAGGCTAGTTTTAATTCCTGTTCTTCTATATTATCATGGTGAGAATAGATGCACGTGTGTGTGCATGTGAGGCCATCACCATAATTCCTCTCCTTTTCCTAAAGGTAATTTGCCCAGCTTTTTTCCTCTGCAGCTCCAGCAGGTTTCTCTCTCTGGGCTTGTCTCTCCTTGTTTTAATTGGCTTTAACATTTCCAAGCTGCCCAGTCATTTGTGATGATTCTCCAGCCAGCACCAAGTGGTTTAATATGCCTGAAAATAGGAGCTTCCTTCCTGACTGACCTTTCTCTCTTAGCTGAGAAGAGCAATTCCCTGGAGCAGCAGGCAGGACGGAATTAATCTGGCTGCTCTTGCTCAGCCACATCCTCACACTCTCCCATCCCTGCTCTCACCCCAGCTGCCAGGGGGTGCCCAGCCCCTCAGAGACCCCCCAAAACAACCCAGGTGAGCCAGGGAGATAAAGAACCCTGGTCTTTCACCATCTATCTTTGCTAACTGGAGGAAAATAAGTAACTTTTCCCTGCCTGGCAAGCTTGAAGAAATCCATACAAGCATCTGAAACATAGATTTAAAAAATATCTAATTCTTTTTTCTTGCTCAGATATAAGTATTTGTTAATGATATTTTCATAACTTTTTTTTATTACTTTTTTCTAACCATAACAGGCAGCCCATTGGAAAGGAATAATTTTAAATAAAACAATGAATGCCCAGTAAGTAATATTCAAATGACAGCTTTTAGATATTGCAGGTGGTTTTTTGTTTTTGTTTTTTTGTGTGTGTGTTTCTTTGTTGTTGTTGTTGTTGTTTTTGTGTGTGCTGTTTTGTTGTTGTTTTTGTGGGGTTTTTTGTTGTTTATTTTGTTTGGTTGGGTGTTTTTGTGGGTTTTTTTTGTTTGGTTGGTTTTTTGTGTTGTCTTTAACTCCTTCATATGGAATAAGAAAATTGTCTCTTGCTGGCATTTTACAAAGGGAGGTTTGGGAGCCTCTTTTGCTTTGACTCTGAAGTAGAGCAGCTCTGACACACACAGAGTGTGGAACAGAAAGTGGATCTGAGCATGGAACAGGTCCAGAGCATGGAACAGAAAATGGATCTGAGCATGGAACAGGTCCAGAGCATGGAACAGAAAATGGATCTGAGCATGGAACAGGTCCAGAGCATGGAACAGAAAGTGGATCTGAGCCTGGCCCAGGTCAGGAGCAGCTCTGACACACACCACAGAGCACATGGATTGGAGCACTGCCCAAGGCAGGCAGGGCTCCTCCTGGAAAAGACATTCCCAAGCACCTTAAAATCTTTCTGTTGTCATTTCCAGCTGCCCCCGTGGCTGAGATCCCTGCCCTGCCTGTGCCAGGGGCAGCTCTGAGCACCCGAAGGATTCTGTCAGAAACAGACCTGAGCAGAGGAGTGGGAGCAGCACAGCAGGGTCAGCAAGCAATAACCACATGCACCCTCCCAGGAATGAAATGACCCTCTGCACTCATCCCTGTGATGTGACATCCTTGGGAAGCGACAGCCAAAGGAATCAATACTGGGGGTGCCAGCCTGGGACTGCCCCACCAGAGGGAGGTTATTATTCCCTACATTTATATTTAATATAAAATATTTATATATAATATGATATTTCTTAATTATTCCTTAATGCTGTGCCAAACAAAGCAGGAGCAGGGTAACGAAACGAGCTGACACCTACTGAGCCTCTTCAGAGATGAATATTTACTGGGGTTCGTCTTGACAGCAGACTCGTAGGACGGCGGGAGGTGGGAGAGGTTCTGGAAGGAGCGGGAGAAGGACAGGTCGTAGGGCTCGGTGGCTGAAGTGAGGATGTTGTTCATTCGTGGCTTGTCTGTAAAAAAGCAGCAGAGAAAGGCAGGTCTAGAGGGTGCAGGGAGGGATGGAGAGGGGCAGGATGTCCCCACAGGCCCCAGCAGGGAGCAAGGCCAGCCCCAGCCAGCCCCAGGCACAGCTCTTGGGCCTGACTCACTCCCCTTCACCCCCTCAGCGACACAAAACCAGTCTGGGATGATCTTTTAACTGGGGCTGCTGGTCCAGCTGCCCTCTGTGGGGCACATTTCTCATTAGAGCTCCAGAGCCAGGGCTCGGGGGGATGCTGCTGCACTGGGGGCTGGAAACCCTCCTGTGCTGGGATGTGGAGAGGGGTCACCCTGAAGACTAAAACCTGCTGATAATGTTTCCATAGGTTTAGTTACTTTCCCATGAAAGTTCTATAAACATAAGTTGTTTATCGCATTCCTTCTAAGAAAAATCTTTTGATGGATGTTTCTCATGCCCAGTGTGCCTGGGAAGGTGGTAACTTAATTATCCAATCCCTGCTTATTGTTGAGAATCTATAAATACTGGAGTCAGAGAATAAAGGTTCTGCTTTCCTGTTCTGATACTGGAAAGTGTTTGTGTGAATCATTTTGTGTCCTTTAGCGACAGAGAGGGGCTGGGGGACACAGCTGGGGACACTCAGAGGGCAGGGCAAGAGCTTGGAGAGGTTCCTGAGGCAGAAATCCCCATCCCTGTGGGGTGGAGGATGCCCCTCTACTGATGTTCATTCTGTTGGTCACTGAGGGGGTCCCCAGGCAGGATCTCAGTACCCTCTGTCACAATTCTAGTGCTGAGGGCACTGCCAGGGAAAATTAGCACCGAGCTCAGATGCTAAAATTGGCATTTTAAACTTTAAAATTAAATTTAAAATTAAATTTTACCATTAAAATTTTAAATTTAAGTTTTAAATTTTAAAATTGAATTTTAAATTTCAAATTTCAAATTTTAAATTTTAAATTTTAAATTTTAAATTTTATATTTTAAATTTTAATTTTAAATTTTTAAATTTGGCAGACTGTCTGCAGGGTTTTGAAAGCTTGTTCCTTTGCTGCAAGCTGGTAAATGGTCTTTCATCTTTCATCTTTCAGCCCAGCCAAGGGAAAGGGACCTGTTGAAATAACTCCCAGGTGTTCAGATATTAAAATGGGCAGATATGAAAGTATTTAACAAAGCAGGAACTTCAATTATTGGAAGCAAAGCCAGAACAGACACCTCTGTCAGACCCCACAGCAGTGATGGGGCTCAGTAGTTGAAGCAAAAGACCAAGGAGGAGGCCACTTCAAGCATGGTCTGGAAATGAAACCAGAAGGGTAAATTCTCAGGTAGAGCAGCAGGATGTGCAAGCCTTGGGGTCCCACGTTCCTGTTCCATCCCTAACGTGTCCCCGTGGAGAGCAATGCGTGATCAGTGTGCACTCACCTGCCCCGAGCCCTCCTGCCTCCTCTGCACCATGGGCCACCTGAGATAAAGGCACAGATTCTGCCCCAAAGTAACAGAGCAGCAGGGGAGTTTCACTGGGAAAACTGCTGGCTTTGTGCAGCATCCATACACTTGCTAACTTCTCCCATTTCACAGAAAAAAAATGCAGAACAAAATCTGCCTGAGTGCAGACATTTCACAGACGTTTTTCTAGACTTGAGTCATAAGTGAATGTGTTTCCTGCAAAGAACTTCTGTAAGAGTGAGGCCATCTCCTCCCCTGCTGCCTTTCTGCCATGTGGAGCCCTGTGTGTTGGACAGCAGAACGTTTTCCTCCTCTCTGAATTTTTCATTTCACCTTGTCCTCGCTGCCCCTGCTGCCTGGAAATGAACCCAGCAGTTCATCTGTGTGTCTGCACGGGGATCCAGAGCTGCTTCCACAGCTTTTCTCCCCCTGTGACTTCCCCTGGATATTCTAAACCTCCTGCCAGCCACCCTCAGCACTGCACAGTGTCAAAGGCAGACTGAGGCAGTCCTGACTTCCTTACAGAATTCAGCACTGGTGAGAAATTCCTCCTAACAATGCAATAACCACCTCGGCTCATAAATCTTCTCTCCCGTTCCTTCTGTTCCTCTCTGCTCTCCTGGAACAGGTTCTGGTGTGGCAGAAAGAGCACAGCCCCAAGGGAGCTGGAGTGTCACCTCTCAGAGAACATAATTTCCTTGCTGATGACTTCAATCCATGTCTAATAGACTGACTGCAGGATCAGGGAGTGCATCGGATTCATCAGGGGGCTGGAAACAATTGATTCGATGTTATCCAGTAAACAGAGCCTGGATCAGCATTGAAACCATGTCCCCACTCCTACTCCTGCTTGTGTGGCAAGGACCCCGGGGTAACATCTCTTTGCAAATTCCTCAGCCAGAACCTGTAGCTAATCTCCATTTTCATGGAGGTTTGGACATGCTGCAATGAGCCCAGTCACAGGCACGGAGCTTGTGTTGGGTGCCAGAGCAGGAGCATTAATTGACTGTTTGCATGAGGTGTGTGAAATTAAGTGCCACACGTTAATCTGATGGGCTGGTGCAGGATCAGCTCCTCTTCTTGCTGCTTTCCCCATCCAGGCAGTCAGGAACAGACCAGAATGATTCTGGCAAATGAGAAGTCACCTTGAAATCCACTGCCCATCACTCAGCAAAATAAGGGATAAACTGAAATGACCAAAGCTAATTTCAGATGTCTTTTGCATAATGTAGTGTGAGGGGGAGATCAGAGAACTGAGGCGCTCTAGTAAGGAGAAATATCTCATGTAATTTATATTCTGAGGCCAGTTCAGCACGAGTTTTTCAGCAGTTTTTCACTCCTGCAATATATTTGAGTCATGCTTGTCTCTGGTCTCTCTTCGGGGTTTTTGTGGGCTCCTATGGAAGCTGCAGGTCATAATCAATAATCAGGATGCAAATGAAATGTCCCATTCCCTGCAAGGCATCTGAGGTTGTACACGGTGTTCCCAACATTCCCACTCATCCCAGTCCCATCTCTGGGCAGCTGAAAAATGAGCTCTGTCCCATGGTACTGGGATTATCTCTGAAAGACAAGTTTGGTCCCCGTTTTCCTCAGCACCATCCTGCATCTCTGTGCTGTTTTGTGCCCATTTTCTGGCACACCATCCATCCTGGCAGGGATTGGCAGAGGAACAGGCAGGGGATGAAGCTCAGCCAGCACAGAGGACACACAGCAGCCACAGGAACCTCAGCCATTGCTCATTGGGTTCTAAACTCTCCTTGCTGCAGCCTCGGAACAGCAGTCAATGCAAGGCTTCAAAATTCTGCTGTGTCTCTGATGAACTCAGCAGGAATTCAGCTCTGCAGCATTTCCTCACCCTCCAGGCAGCCGTGGCTGGACTCTGGGCAGGGATGCTCCAGCTGTACCTGGCACAGCCCGTGCCAGGGCTGCACCACGCTGGCACAAGGAGCTCAGGAAGGGAGCAGGAACTCTGTGGAGCTCTAATCTCTCCTCCTGGAGCCCCACCAAGCAAGGTGGGTGCATTTCTTCCAGAACTGCCAGGCCAGCCTGAACCCTGCTGTGTTTTTATAGGAACCAGAGCATCCCTGGGCCAGGCTCTGAGAGGCTCCTGCTCTGCTCACAGCCTTGCACAGGGCTGGGGAGGGGCTGCCCATGCTCCTACTACATCCTGGTGATGCCTCAGGATTTTAGCTTTTCTAGTTTTCAGATCCTGCACTAGTTCATAACTCTGAACCCCATACAGAGTGTCAGCTACTGTCTTCACATTTTGGTGAGACAAAACAATCCCTCTGGGCCTGAGATCCAAGGACACACCACAGCCTCAGGGCCTGAGAAGTATAAAAAAGTGAACTGGGGAGGAGCAAACAGGGGGAATGTGACCTCATTACCTGAAGCTGGAATTGGAGAATTAACCCCTGATTGCAAATTGACCAATTTCTGTAGTTCTGCCTGAAAAACTTTGCTACCTAAGAGGGAAACAAAGCCCCTCCGTGCTGAGGCAGAGCCTCATTTCTCTGCCAGTGCTTTCCAACCTCTCTGCAAGCTCAGGGCTCAGAGAAGTTTCAGGATTTCCAGAGCTGTGCAGATTAGACCTGAAGTCTTCTTGTCACATCTCGCTCTGCCCCTCTTGTTGGAAGACACTTTCAAAGTGTGTTTACATGAGGCACAAAACCTTTCATGTTCAAGGACGGGAGCAGATGATACCCAAAACAAAACAAAAACCAAAGTGAATTGATGGCAAAGTTTTACACAAAGCTCAAGTGGCAAAAGGGATGTGCTGCAGATTTGCATTTTAGTCTGCACATATGTTGTGCGAATTCTGCAAGACATTTCAACAGATGCCTTTTAAAACATTCACCCAGAGAAAGCAAACAATGTCACCTAGGAGAAGCTGCTACAACCCAGCCTTCTGCTGCTCAGCTTCAGCTCAGCAGAGCTCCAGCCCTCTGTCAAAGCTCCCCCAGCACTGCCTTCTGCTCAGCACTGAGCTGCCTTTGAAGGCTCAGACGCAAAGTCTCGGATTCTGACGCAAGTTCTTACAAAGGGCCCCGTTCCTCAGGAAAATCTGGTAGTGCTGATGATGTTCTGGAGCTTTCTGTGCCAGGACTCAGAGCTCCCAGGCCATGCTGAAGTGACACGCTGTCAGAGCAGGCAAAAGAGCTGATGGTCACAGACTGAAAATTTATAATGTGCATCTTCAGTGTTTGTGTTTTCACACTTCTGTTTTCTCGTGTTACAAACGCTGTTATTAATAGTGCTTTGCATTTCTCATGACTAATCTCCAGGAGGTTTCTACATTTCCAGGTCAGATCCTCTGTGGTGTAAATCAGAGCTCTCCAGCGAGTAGCTGCCCTCATTTATATGAGCTGGAGAGGGAGGATTTTAAATTCAGCCAGTGTTTAAAACCCTGTGTCTGTCAGGATGGCTCTAGGATCGGGTCTTGCAGAGCTCCTGGCTGAGAACTGAGCAGCAGCCTGAAGCAGGAAGGTGCAGAGGGAAGGGATGCAGCACAGGGGTGCAGGGTGATGCCCTGGGATGTGACAGTGACATCCCTGGGTGCTGTCACCC